GTTCGTTCGTTCTCTCTCTCTCTCTCTCTCTCTCTCTCTATATATATATATATATATATATATATATCTTCTGCCTTTTTCTTTTGTTGTTGTTTTTTTGTAGCTGTTGTTACGCTGCGGAGTTGCGGCATCATGGACGATCTCCGTCTCCGTGGCGTTCTGTGTGGTCCTCGTATCCTTCTTTCCGCATTTGCTTTGTTGTTGCTTTACTGCGTCTCATCAAGTATGCCAAGTAAAAAACGATAATGAATGAAAAGAAGGGCGACTCCTCTTTCAAATTGTTACAAACCCCCGGGCATGGTTTTGTGGTGATGGGGAGGGGGGGGGGGGCGGAGGCTTCGACCTCTTCGCACATGTGATGTTTCGTTATCTTGTTTCTCTGTTTCCTACTCCGCGGCAAGGCCTTGCTGATAAGCGTATACGTATTTAAAAGACCCGGCAGTTCTCTTTATCTCAAAGCTTCCCCTCTGAATTCTTTTTCTTTCTTCTATTCTTCTGCTTCAATGCAACGTCGCGTAGTGCACCCCGACCCACTCCACACCTGCAGAAGCCGCTGCCCCCTACTTGGAAAAGGAAAAGCCAGCGCACTGTGATCGGAAAAGAGAAGAACGAAACCTTTTTCTTTTTTGCGCGACACCACCAGCGACACTCCGTTATGTCGAAGTACCCTCCCGAGAAGGCGTCGGCGCCGAACAGCGGGGCTGACGACGACGAGGAGGAAGAGGAGGAGGAGGAGGAAGAGGTGGCGGAATGGACTGAATTGATGCCACTGGTGGAGTTGGATGCCATGGAGGATGGCCCGAGCACCTACGTTGTGGGCGGCTACAGTACCTGCTCGTACCTCGGCGAGGCCACTGACCTCGTGAAGTACAAGGAGGATATTGTGGTGGTCTTTCCTGGTGTCTACCCCGACGCACGACCGCCATCGGATGCGGCCGGGGAGGCGCTCGAGTTAAATGAGGCGCAACTCGGTGGACTGCGCATCTACAGCGTCCGCTACGCACGTGAGCACCCCGAAGCCGGCAGAGAGAGCAACGTCGGTGCGTCTTCCGCCTCTTCCTCTGCGTCACCCAAGTACGCTGCCTCATCAAAGCGTCGGGTGGGGCCGTGGTTTACGTGGTTGACGGCTGCCGCGACGACGACGCTGCTTACCCAAGAGGGCAGCGGTGAAGGGTCGGATACACACAGCAACAGCAACGAGGCTCGGACAGCGAATCCGCTGAAGACCGCCGCCAGCAGGGCGATGGCCGCGACGGATGCACAGCACACGCACAATGTGGTGACGACGACAACAAGCGGCTCCAGCGTGTTCGCACCAGTCATCAGCGCCACCACCGCGAACGCGAACCTCTACCCCGTTTTCGACTTTCCTCTTTCGATGGTGTACGAGGACGACGACGGCAGCGCGGCGGCGGGTGGTCTCCCGCACTACAAACAGGAACTCAGCGAAGAGGAGGCCGATGAGGAGACCGAAAACGACGACGAAGAGGACGGCGGCAACCACCGCAGCAACAATGCCGGTGGCGAAGGCGAGGATGAAGACGGCGCCGGCTCCGCCAGCCAGACAGGCAAGTCAGCCGGTGCTGCGGCGGTGAGGATCGAGCGTGCCATCACGCTAGCCGGCTGTTGTGCGCGTGGTGGTCTCACGCTTGGCGCTCTCACACGCAGCACGGTACAGCATTGCGTCGTTGGCACCCCACAGTCATCATCGCCATCGTCCGCGCTGCGCATTGCGGTGACGGCTGCACCGCTGACAGAGGCCATCGTGGACCACTGCCTCGTGTACGGCGGCACGTCCTACGGCGTGTACGCCTTCCCCCGTGCCTCACTCACCCTGCAGAATAGCCTCATCGAGGGCCCGAATGCAGAGGCGGAGAAGACGTGTGGGGAAGCAGTGACGGGGGACGGCAGTGGCAATGCCGCGGCGGCAGCAGCAGCGGAGGGGCTGATGGATGTCAACGGCACATCGGTGCTGGAGCAGCTCGAGCACCGTCTGACACGTGCGCAGCGCCTACGTGCGTTCCTCCAGCGCGCCGAGGAGGCGGAGGCGGGCGACGCTGGCAACCGCCACAGCAACAACAACAACGGTGATGATGGCGACAACAGCGGGTGTGCTTACGTGGACGTGGAGGACGGTTTCCTGCCCCGGTTTGTGGTCCCACAGACAAGTCCCACCTGTGCGGTGGGCATCATGGTCGACGACGCAGATCTCCGCGTCAAGGACTGCCTTGTCAGCCACACCCGCCTCGGTGTTCTTCTGCACGGCGGCTGCGCGGGCACGCGGGTGAGGGGGTTGGACATCCGCAGCTGCACGGAAGCGGGACTGTACATCTACGGCGTGGGCGGCGCGGCCGAAGTGCTTAACAGCTGTGTGCGCGCCTGCGGACGTGCGTGTTTACTTTTGGTGGGTCCCTCGGCAGCGGAGGCGGAGCAGGCGGCCGCAGTGCTTGAGACGGACGCGGCGCCTGTTGACGATGAAGAGGAGGAGGAGGAAGATGCCGAGGAAGGCGGTGACCGCGGGGGTGTCAAGCGTCGTCCGGTTCTGGCGCAGCACCCCCACCTCAAGTCTAACACGTTTATCGGGTCGGTGCGTGTGCAAGGAGAGGTGCGGAGCGGCGCCGTCGTGGACAACTTCGTGTTTTTGCCGAAGGAAGAGAAGTCAGCGGCGGCGGTGGTTACTGCCGCCGCGACGCTGCTCTCGGTGGATGCGTCAGCGCGACGTGGCTTTACCTACGTAGGCGTCGAGGGGGACCGCGTGATAGGCCGGACGGCCGATCAAGTGGCCGCAGTCTGAGTAGGAAAGTAAGGAGTTTCATGTCCTCCTCTTCTTCTCACGATGTAGCATCTGAGGACTCTTTTTTGGATGTGGAAAAAAAAAATTGCTCTTTGAAAGTGAAAGGGAGCGAAAACAGGGTGAAGTAATGCACTCTTTGCTGCTGTTGATGTTTCCCCTCGTTGCGGGAGAGTTACGCGATCTAGCAGCTTCTACGGATGTCTTTTCGTTCTGGTATTGTTACTATGGAGTTCCTCCTGTCAACGAATCACATGAGCTGCGTCTTGGATGGCTGCTTGCGTAGTGTGCACATGTGGTCGCGTAACTCTACGCCGTTACGTACAAAGCTAGCAGCATCCCACCCTCTTCTTTTCCTTTATTATCATTTATTTTCCCTATCATATGTACATAGGTATTGTTCCCCGTTGATGTTGAATGAAAGCGAATCTCGCGCGTGGTGGACTGCGAAAGACAGATAAAAAAAAACGGAGGTCCCTCCTTAAGATAAGTCTTTTTTGAGGGGTTTCGTGCGTGGAGCGTCTGAGTCTCTTTTGGCTCTATCGCACGCATGTGGAAAAGCACTTGTGGAGCAGTGCTGTGGGCCACCAACTCCCGCGAACGGAGGAAAACAAAACCTTTTTTGTTTAGAATCAAAGCATATATATATTACATCTTGTCCACGCGATGCCCCCGTGAACGTCCTTCTCCATCCTTCTCCACTGCTCGCCCTCCTCCTTTCCCATACGCAGCAAGGGAGATTCCGCCTTCTTCTGTCGCTTCTCTTCTTTTTCAAGTTAGACCATCACTTTCGAAAACGGACCTATTCTGCCCGCAATGCCGTCCCCCAGCCGCTCGCGAGGCAGCGAGAGTATGTCGCCCGCGCAGCACGACTTCTACACGAATCAGGGCTTGAAAGCCACCGCCGTTTACCCCGCATCTGCGAGCAGAGAGATACCAATGATGATGTCCGCGCAGGGACAAAGCTCCTACGATATCAGCAGCAGAGGACGTCAGAACTCCCTTACGCGCCACTCTTCTGCGACGCCACCTTTGTCGGTGCGAAAGCTGAACGTGTGCACCTCCCCTCCCCCATCCACCTGCCCACAGCCGAATGGTGGCCGCGATACCGCAAAGAGCGGTGCGGCTAGACGTCCATCAGCTCCCGTGAGCACCACGCGAGGCCTGGCAGGCGCCACTTATACCGTGCGTGCCGGTCAGCACCCGCTCTTCACAGGCAGCAGCCACAGCAGGCTTGTGAAACCGCAACTATTTCACCCACCGCAACGCCGTACCCCTCCTCCGTCTTCGGCTCCGGACACGGCAGCAGCATCCATGATTATGATGATCTCGCCCGAGAATAACACCGTGCGTGGCTTACGCGGCAGCGCAATGAATGGGTTGGCTAGCACCACAGAAGCAGGGCTGACGCACGCCGCAAAGCGCAACAGCGTTATTGAGCGCATCGCCGCTGCTGCCGGCTTCGAAGACACGGCCCACAACGACAGCAACGACAACGCTGGCACGGCGCGACCGCCATCAACAATCGGAGGCGACCGTCTGAACGCTGCTCCCCGAGGAACCGCCACGGTGCACTTCCAGCTCCCCTCCAACGGTGGCGTCACACACCCAAGCGTTACCGAGTCGCAGGCACTCGAGCCACTCGTCCTTCACGACGCAATGAAGATGCGCTTGCAGCAACCCCCGTCCAACGTCATGGGCGAGAGCTCTCTCGCCCAGCAGCGGCTGCCGGCCGAAGCACTCGTGCTGCGTCCGCCAGAGAAGACGGCGGACGGGAAAGACAACGCCATGTATCTGCAGCTTTCTTCCTTTAAAATGGCGCCGCTCGGTGTTGTTGGTGATAGCAATGGAAAAGCAGAAAAAACTCTCACCGATGCAGCGACTGCTCCATTGCCCTCTGTACCGACAGCGGTACCACAAGCAAATGTGCCATTGTCCGGCTCAGCTGCTGCGGCTACGAATACGACCACTGGTATTACCACCACGACTTCAGTACCACCACCGCCTCCTGCTGCGTCTTTGCCGCAGCCTTCCAACGAGGCCACAGCAGCCTCTCAGCTTGCAGGGCAGCCATCCGCAGCAGTGACTCCAGCAGTCACGCCCTCCCCCGCCAACCCTTCGCCTCCTGTCCTACACGCCTCCTTTCGCGAGCCCACCTCGGAAGAAAAGGCGGCGGCAGAGGCGGACCATCTCATGAATGACTTGATCAGCAGCGCCGCTCAACGCAGGCACAATCCAGCAGAACCGGTGTGGAACGCACACGGTACACTCCCCTTTGCGGAGGATGCGTTGTCCCCCGCACCGGACGCCGATGCGTCGACCGAGGCGGACATGGCAGCGCAGTACGTGCGGCGTCAGATCAGCCACAATAGATGCTTCGTTGGGTGGCAACCACCGCCGACAAATGTGCTTCTGCCGGACCCGGCGCAGCCGGATGCGACGTGGTCGGTGCTGGCGAACGCAACGGCGCAGGCGGTGCAGCAGGCCGCTGCCTCGCAGACCATTGCGCAGTCAAGGGGAGCTGCCGACGCGAACACCATTCCAGGGGTTTTGCCGCCGCGTTCCACCTACGGTGCAGAGGCGACCGCAGCAGCGGATGGTGAAGCGACGGCGGCGGTGCGGTGTGCCGACTACCACGCGCCTTTTCAGCAGGTTCTACACCCGGAATGCGTAGAGGACTTCCACGCGCTTCCGGACACCTCCGGCATTGTCGTGGACACCGGCGGCGCACCGTCACGCCCCGATCTGTCGGAGGCGGAACGTGCCATACAGGACGCGTTGCGGCAGAGTTCAACCGATACCACCGCACGGTCGTTTGCCTCCCAAGCCGTCATCCTGCGCGACCCCCTCTCTCTACTTGCATGCGAGCACCTGGCCGATGACACGGTTGGTATGGTGGCTCGCCGCCGCTCGTATCTGACGGCGATGATGCAGCTCAACGGCGCCCTCCAGGGAGATGCCCTACCTTCCTCAAAAGGAAATACCTCTGCCCTCCAATCGGTCCTGCAGACCGCCACGCCGCCTGGTGAGGTCTTCTGCGAACTGACGTACCAGGCGAAGGTGCTGCTCTCGACGATCTTGTACATGCGTGCGTTGGGTGCATTGCCGACGCTGCTCCGCGTAGGCCCGCTGACCGAGTACAGTCCCGTCATCGACAAGGGCAACTGCATCGAGCTCGTCTTCTACAACCCGTCCGACGAAGAGCGCGAGCAGCAGGCGGCGCAGCAGGCGGCGCAGCAGGATGTCCGTCGCCGACAGAGTCTGCAGCGGCAGCGCACGGTGGTGTATCACCAAGCACCGTTGGCACAAACGCACTCGGCGGCCATGTCGCCGATGAAGGCAGGCCGGCTGCGCTCGCGCTCTCAACCGCCGGCGCAGCAGCAGCAGCAGCAACAGCAACAGCGAGAGACATCCCCTGGTATCCGCGCCGCGTCGGCACTGCGCAATCGGCCTCGCAGCCTCTCCGCCACCCCTTCAACGTGGCACCGCACTGCGAGAGGCAACTCTGCCGATGACGTGGGTGAACTTGCACCCGCTGATCGTAGCGCCGGACACGCCCTCCGCTCTCCGCTGCTCAGCAGGCGAAGGTCGTCCCCTTCGCAGATGAGTCCAGCCGAGCTGAGTCAAGTATCACAGCAGCAGCAGTTCCAGCGGCAACCGAGTGCTGTGGAGGGCCTTCTTCTGCAGTCGCTGTCGAACGTGGCGATGCGGCGCTCCGGCTCCACCGTCTTCCAATCCGAGGCCGCCCCCTTCCACGCCAAGGCGGAGCAGGTCTTCGGTGTTACCTCGAAGGCGCCGCTGACGGGGGCGGGGCTGACCAGCCTTGCCAGCCCGCTGTTGCGGCGCTCCAGGGAGCCGTCGCTTCTCATCGACGAGTCGATGGAGGTGGACACCCCCGCCTCGGTGGTGTACCGGCGGCCGAACTTCTACAACGAAAACGGCGGTGCGTGGCTGCAGCGCAGTCTCTCGCAGGACGCCGCGTCGCGTGTGCATATGCAGCCGTGGTCAAGAGCAAATGCAGAGACAGGCAACAACACTCTCAACCGCAAGGCTTGTGCGATGTCGAACAGCGCCAGGCAGCGACAGCGGCGGGGCTCCGAGTGCTGCGGCGGGATGGGACCTGCCGCCATTCCCCACGCCCGCGGAGGACGGGGAGGAGACCGACACACCACCGTTACCCCGACCCGTCACATCCCGTCATCAACCACGACGCCGACGTTTGCGGCGCCGGCAGACGCTGCCCTGCAGACGCACGCTGCTCTCCGTCGCAGCTCGGTGCACTTGGCCGTTGAGCAGTTAAAGCACGACGCCGATGCAGAGAAGCCGGCGGTATCGCCATCGGCGTCCTCCCCAGCCACGTGGAGACCAACGCGAACCCCTGTCTCGCCATTCCAGCCTTCTGTGTCGTTTAAATCGCTGCACGACACCGGCACGGTACCGCACGCACGAGCCGCAAAACCCGTCCCGCCTCACGGCGCGGGTGCATCGCGCTTCCCTGCCGGCGAGCGAGAGTTGTGTGTTGTGCTGCGCGCGGTGGTGGCGCAGAAGTCGCACGTGTACGCCTTTGGTGAATCCGAGACGGTGCACGTGCTGCCACCCCTGCCGCCGCGCTCGATCGACGACGGCGTCGACGCAGACGCACTGCTACTGCAGCAGATGCAACGCAAGAAGAGTGAGTTGGAGCGTCTTGCGATGGACGCATCGAACCCGCTCGTGCGTTTTCTCAGCGGTTCGACGCTGCGCAACGCGGGAAGTGTTGTCGCGGAGGCGAAAGAGCAAGAGGCGGAGCGGCGCCAAGTGTCACTGCGCGAGCAGGCTCGGCGTGTGGCGGCGGCGGCACGGCGGCAAGCACCCGCGGCCGTCGACGTGGCTGGCCGGCCCGTCACGGACGACTACGGCGACGTCGTCGTGGCCTTCGTGCTGAGCAAAAACGCGTCGGAACTGAGTGGATCCGTGCCGGACATGATGGAGCTCGAGACGCTGCGTTACCGAATCTTTTTGTTAGAGGGGTACAGCAGCTCCGACCCATCAGGGATGCAGGCGGTGCGTGCGGCGGGCGCGACGGCGGCGACGGGGGAGGAAAAGACCTCCGCTACTACTGCCTCTGCTGCTGCTGCTGCGTCGCTTCCGGAGTCTCCTGGGGCTGGCGTGTACGCGCGTGCGCTGACGCGCGACTCGTCCCCGCTCGACACCGCGCAATCTCGCCTGCAGAGTCAGCTCTCCTCCTACAAAGCCTTTCAGCGCAACAACGCGACGAGGGCGTCGGTGAACGACCAACGTGCGCTTTCACCTGAAACGTCCGTCGCCATCGAGGCGCGCGAGAGCCCCATCCGCGCCTCGGCGCGGAGCGTGTCGAAGCGGATGAGCTACTTTGAGAGTATCCTGCGCAAGACCGATCCGACATACACACCGGGCTGCACCAATGACGAAGACGGGGCGTACATGTCGGAGCTGGATCTGCAGCTGCTACGGCAGCGGCAACACCAGCAGCAACGGGCGGCGGTGCGGGCTCGCTACCCGGTGTACCGTGCGTCGAGCGTCGCGGAGAGCACGCTGCAAGCCTTTCATGCGGAGGCGGTGGCTGCGGTGTCGGCTGCACGCCGTCGCCGGCGCAGAGGAGAGAGCGAGGACGGCGGCGGCAACGAACGGCGGGGGGACGCATGAGCAACGGCACGACAGTGATACGAGAGAGGCGTCGAGGAGCCTGCTGCCGGGTCTGGGGAAGTCCGCTGGGTCAAGTGCTGGGGCTCCTGCGGTGGTGGACGCAACGGCGGCGCTGCAGGAGGCGGAACGAGATTTACTTCGTTTCCGACCCATGAATTTGAACAGTTTTCATCGCGAGTTGGTGGAGGCGGTGCAGTACGCGATAGACCTGCAGACTCGCCAGAAAACGGAAGAGGTACTTCGCGCCTTCCATATGTAAGGCGGAAAACCGTATCCGCCGCAGCATCATATGTCCTTTTTTTTGTTTTAGAAGTTTTAGAACGTTAGCGTCGTACCTTTCGGGAATACGAAATGGAGGCGCACGAATATATATCTTTTGCATATCAAATAGACTTTGTAGTTTTTCGTTTTCTCTCTTCTCTTCTGAGTCCCTAGAGAGCACATTCATAACGGTTGTTTCTCTCCTCCCCCCCCTCCCCTCTCTCTCTCTCTGAGTCAATGTTGCGACGAAGCGCAGGCCCCCTTCGTCCTGACAACAGAGTTACTTTTCTCACTTCTACTGTGTGTGTGCGGAGGGGGGTGGGGGAAGTTATTTTATGCGAACTGGATGACCGACAAGCATTGTCGCTCCGTGTTTGTCCTTTGAGAGGGAAGAACAGCAGCAAATTCACTTACAAACAACAACACAAAAAGCAGTGATTGCTGTTCGTGTTATCGGCAACGTGTCGGGAGATAGCTATCATCTCGTACTGATCACGTAACGCATCCCATGCAGTTTTCTTTTTTCGAGAGAACCGCTGTTGTCTACACATTTGCAAGAAGGAAGTCCCTTCGTATGAAGAACAAGTTTGTCTGTACGAATCTTTTGTGGTATTTTGTTTTGCATCTGCCTTCCTCTGCGTGGCTCTTGCCCGCCGGATGCAATCGCCCAAGAACGACAGCTCGCCATTTATTATTTTTTTCTTTTATCGCACCTACACGTCTCTCTCCTTCCTTCTCATGTGCCATGTCCTCTTTGTTTCCTTCCCTCGTTGACACGCGCACACTCGTACACACCACAACGGACGCTTGAGCTGCTGATTTCAAATTTCAGCAACGAATCCCTCTCGACAAAACACCCACCTAAAGGGAGAACAGTGCACACCGCTATCTAAAAACTGGTCTTCTTCCGTGTTTTTGTTTTTTTACTTCTTTCCTTCTTCTTTGCCTTCACCCGCCGCGATGTCTGGCTTCACGATTCGCCGCTTTGTGCTGCAGAACATCACCGCCGTGGCGGCGCACTGCCCCTCCGTCACCGTCGCCTCCACCGCCGTCGCCGTCATGACGGGCGTTGCTGCTCCGCCCACTGCACCCGCCTCCTCACCGGCGTCTTCCAGCTCCGGTGCCTCGAGTGTCGTCTCGAGCTGGGTGCGGAACATGTTGACGGGTGCCCCTGATGCCTCCTCTTTGTCATCGACGAAGACAGGTTTCGGGCTGGTGACGGCGGAGGAAATGGAATGGATTCGCCGCCGCCGGCGCGAGGGCGCGGAGGAGAGCCGTGTTGTGCTGGCGACCCGGCCCGGTCGCTCAGTGCTACGCGGAGTGGCCGGCGGTGCCTTGAACTCCTGCCTCGGCTTCATTGTCTCGCCGCTGGTGTTTTTGGCAGTGGCGCTGGAGCTCGTTCGCCTCGGCAACGGCGTCAGCTCACTCCTCACCGGGCCCTGCTACGGCTTTGTGTGGGGCGGCATTTTCTTTGCCTGTGCGCAGTACGCCGCGGCGCAGCAGGTGCTGATGTGCGGCTACTACAGCTGTGTGGCGACGCCACTCTACTACTGTGTAAACCGCCGACCGCTGGTGAGGGCAGACGCGACACCGATGATGCCGGCGCCGCGAGCGCGGGCGTGGATCTTCGGGGCGCTCAGCTGCCGCTTTGAGGTTCCACAAGGCACGCTGCATGCCCACCATCCGATGCTGCTGCTGTACGACGCACCGTCCGTGTTGCGCGAGCGCGCGATGAAGCGGCTGGCCCACCGCGACAAGAGCAAGAGCAAAAAGGAGGCGCAGTACGCTGGAAAAGGTAAAGCGAATGGCGCCGGCCCGGACGACGATGACTACTACGGACTGCTAGGACTGTCACCGGATGCGACGCCACGGCAGGTGAAGGAGGCCTACAGTCAGAAGGCCTTGCATTTGCACCCCGACCGCAACCCCAACCCCGATGCGGCGCGGCAGTTCGACCGCGTTACAAAGGCGTATCGAGTGCTGTCGAACCCGCAGAAGCGCAGGAAGTTCGATCTGGCTGGCACAAAAGGTGTGGAGGACACAGGAGTGAAGAAGCGCGAGGGCGTGCGGGCGCTCTTCGGTGGCGCGGAGCTGAACAAGCTGGCCGGCGACGCCTTCCTCGGCAGCTTCTCCCAACGCGTGATTGACGGGCTGGACTTCACGGCCGAGGAGCTCGCCGTGATTCGTCAGCACATGTACGAAAGCTGCCGCGATGAGCTGCTCGGTACGTACCTGGCCCACTACGATGCCTCCGCAGCTGCGACGACGGACGTGATGGGAGGATCGGTGAAGCGAGCAGCAACAGTAGCAGCGACAAAGAGTGGCCCGTGGAAGGGGGACGCCGTTGCACTGCAGCTGCGCAAGATGCTCAACACGGGACTCGCGAAAGAGGTGCTGTACACCATCGGCCACGAATACCAACGAGTGATCGCGTGCTTCGACATGGAGGACAGCGGCAGCGCCTCCCTGCCGTCTCTTGCCATGCAGCGCGCCAAGTTCTACGCAAGCGTATCCGGCCCGCACCGCTGGCACCTGCAACGCCGAAAGGTAAAGTACCTGACGACGGTGCGCAGTCACACCTTCAAGAACTCCGAGGCGATGGTGGATCTCGCGTGGTTCACCTCCGTGCAGGAGCTGGAGACGACGGCGCGCCACGTGGCGCTGATGATCCTGTACGAGCCCTCGTTGTCGGCAACGGAGGCCACGACGCGGCGCAATGCGCTTGCGGCGCTTGCGGAGTCGTTTATTATGTACGGGCAGCCCTACAAGGGTGCAAGTAAGGCCACGATGGACCAGCTGATGAGCTCGCTGCGGGAGTACCAGCAACAGCGTCAGCGCGAGAAGGACTCGGAATAACGCGTTCATTTACACGAAAAGAAAGTGTGTGTGTGTGGGTGGGGGGGGGGGAAGGGAGGGGAGGAGCAAACACAAACACGCACTTTTCTAAGCGCTGCTAGCATCTCTTCTCCTTGTCCTTCGCTGTGGTGGTTGTTTCTTGGTCGATGTGTGAAAGGCGACTGGCGACGGCGGTAGCCTTCGGTGGGGTAACACTGCGGGGAGCTTATTGTGCTCTTTTTTTGGGGAGGGGGTCTCATTCTAATCGTGTCAGGGTGCTCTATTCACACAGCACATGGCTTTCCGATGCCATGGAACAAACCCAAAACGTCAGCAAAACACCCACAGGGAAATGGAGGCGACGAAAACAGCAGTTCCACTTGATTAACGGTCCCAGCTCTCGTTCAAGGCGACCACGCAACACTTTTTCTTTAGAAGTAGCTGTGGAGTCATCCTTCATCTGACGCGACACCCTTCATCGCTTCTGTCTTGCGCGTGAGTCGCAGACGTGCACAAACGCACACACGCCCTTCACTTTCATTTCTCTTTTGTTCCCGTGTCATTTCCTACCAATCCTTACTGTTTCGCTTCTTGTTGCGACGATAAGAGCGGTGTTCGCGGTGTACTTCGACGTGTACGTGAGGTACTTCTGTGTAGGCGTGCCCCACCCCAATGGCGAGTGTACTTCCTCCTCTAAAGTTTGGCATGCCGCCTCTCGGCATTGGCACCTATGAGCTGCGCGGCGACGACTGCGTGCAGGCGGTGCGATCGGCCCTGCAGATGGGCTACAGACTCATCGACACGGCCGCCGCGTACCGCAACGAGGATCTCGTCGGCGAGGGCATCGCGACGAGCGGCGTCCCTCGTCACGACATCTACGTGGTGGTGAAGATCGCAATGAAAAGCATGGGCACTGACGCGGAGGTGCGGCGTGGCATTTTGGATAGTATCCAGAAACTCCGCATTCACTACGCAGACTGTGTGTTGATGCACTGGCCGGGGTGTGGAGGGCTGAAGCCGGAGGACGCGGCCGGACATCACGCTGCTCGTGCGCGGTGTTGGCGGGTAATGAAGGCGCTACAGCTGGAAGGCATCGTGCGCCACCTCGGCGTCTCGAACTTTCTGCCGCGACACTTCCCTCAGCTGGGCTGCTTTGTCGACCACTGCAACGATCACCGCAGCAACGAGAGAACACCACCTACAATGGACGCGTCACACGACCACGTTGCCCCGCAATGCTCTGCGTCCACGTTGTATGAGCTCCCCGCAGTGAATCAGATCGAGCTGCATCCCCTCTGCGTACAGCGTGAAGTGGACGAGTACTGTCGTGGCAGGCATGGGATGGTGCTGCAGCAGTACTCGCCGTTGGGGAAAGGAGACGCGCGCCTGCTGCGGCACCCACGGCTTCTGGACCTCCACGCGCGTTTCTTCGCCGCCAGTGCGACGGATGGCGATGAAACCGGTAAGAAGAGGAGGACGGAAGAAGACGGAAAAGATGAAGTGCGAACATCGCCTATGTACTCGGTGCCTGACATGCTCTTGATGTGGGGTCTCGCCCAGGGGTACTGCACGTTGGTGCGAAGTCATAACGTGGCACATCTGCGCTCCAACTTAGCGGCAGCGGAGGACTATTTTGCCTCCCTTCACGCAACGCCCACTGAAAACGGCGCGGAACGCACTCGCCCCGTGCTGACGGCGGCGCAACTAGATGCGCTTCACAACCTCCGTCGACACATGGGCGTGGAGAACACGGAGGACCTTCACCTGTGCTGGTACAGCGCAGCGATCGCCTGAGCCAACGGACGCGAATGTTCGCCAGAGGGTAAAAGGCCATTGTGAGTGCGCGTGTTTTTTTTTGTTGTTGGTGTTTTGAATGTTAGACGTGTCACACCCCGCGCTCATCGTAAGGCTACTCGTGGTCGGTTAACGTCGAATTTCTTTGTGTGCTTGTGTGTTGAGCGCGACTTCGAAGATTTTGAAAGACGGGAATTGGGGTTTTTTTTTTGCCGAGGTTGCTCTTCGTGCTCGGCACGCGCGGCAGGTGCGGTTGGTGTTTTCTGAGCAGGGCGAAACCTGCATTGAAAGGCTCTCAGGAAGAGAGGAAGGTCAGTAAACCTAAACGCAAAGGTTCTCTTCGCACAACGTTCACTCTCTTTCATTCCTCTTTCTTTCTTTCTTTTTTTCTTTGAACGCTGCCTACGGTGATCCTTTCTGTTGTCATTGACAACGCAGTAGCTGCATCGATAAATGATCCTGCGGTGTACGACAAACAAGAAATTACGCGTCCTCCTTAGCTACACCATCAACTAGCAAAAATGTCGTCGGTTGACATCACCAGCACCAATGACATGACCTCGACCGCCGCTGCTTCCGAGGTGAGCGCATCCTTCTCCGCCGACGCCGCCCACCACGTGACGCACGCTATCACCACCGATGCAATCATTCGGGAGTGCATTAAGCAAGGCTTCTACCGCAACCCTATCTGCAACGAGAAGCTCTACCTGCACAACCGCGGCTTCGACAGCGTCGCCCCCACCGCCTTCGAGCCCTACACGGATGTGAAGGTGCTGTGGCTGGAAGGGAACGGCTTCGCATCGCTGCCGTGCGGTGCCGGCTACACGCAGGTGCAACCCCCCATCCGCGTCGACCCGTTCGCTGAGGCGCCGGAAAGGGAAGACGGTGCGGAGGGCGGTGATACAGAGCAGACAGAGCACCACGTCGACCCGCTGTCACTTGGAATCGCACCCGCCGCGGAGAAGACGCTGCCCTTACCTGCCGACATCCCCGCAGAGGAGCGCGACGCCTTTAGCTCCCTCTACCCCACCGTGCGCCAGCTCTACTTGCACAACAACATTTTTCGGGTGATGCCGGACCTGTCACGCTTTCAGCGCCTTGACTCCGTGAACCTCTCCGGCAACTTCTTTTCCACCATCGCGTCTCGCTGTGTGTTCTGGGACGCCAAAATGGCAGCGGAAGGTGAACCGAAGGCGGTGCCGGCGGAGCCGTCGCAGGAGCAGCAGCAGGAGTCAAATGAAAATGTTGAGGTGCAACGTGCGGATGCGCTGGAAAGCGTAGCACTGATCTCCTCCGCCGCCAATGCGAAGGAGCAGCGGGACACGCAGCTGGAGCAGTACCGGCGCCTGGCAGACGAGTACGCCGTCCTCTGCGAGCACTGCCCCTTGCCGGAGCGGGAGGAGGGGGCGCCGGTGCTCGACGCGCATGGTCGACCGTTTGTCTCCACGCCGTACGTGCCACGGCAGCCACCGATGCCGGAGCCGGAGTACCGCAACCCGTGCAGCTCCTTGCGCAGTTTAAATGTGGCCGGCAACCGACTCGAGACCTTCGAGGACTGCCTCGGCTTGCTGTCGTACAAGGCCCTCGCCGTGCTCGACCTGAGCCACAACAACATCGTCGACGGGGAGGCGCTCCTCTTCATTTTGGAGCGCCTACCGCGTTTGCAGTCGCTGAAGCTGTCTGGCAACCCGCTCGTGCGGACGCTGCCGCGCTACCGGAAGCGGCTTCTCTCGCGGTGTAAAGCGCTGCTGTACCTGGATGACCGACCGGTGTTTGAGGAGGAGCGTCGGCTGGTCACGGCGTGGACGCGCGCCGGCGACGATGGGGAGGAAAAAGAGCGTCAGCTCATCCAACGCGAGAAGGCCGCGGCGGAGAAGAAGCGTCTCGACGACTTCCGTCGCCTCATCGCGCGTCGTCACAACGAAGGAGGCGACGCGACGGCGGCGGAGGCACCGCATGGCGACTACGTGCGCGCCATCACGACCTCCGCGGCACTCGCCGCTGCGGCAGACACCGCGGACTCCACCGCCGCACCAAGGGCAGTGGAGGCCGTCACGCATGGAGGTGTGATTCGCTCGCATCGCCCGTCCCGTCGGTCACACCGCAGCGGGCGGGCTGATCGTCGGCCGTCGTCCGACCCGGACAACTCCCCGACGAGCTCGGAGAGCGACGACAGCGGCGGTGAGGACGTTTATGAAGTGGAGACCTTCTACTCCCGCCCCGGTGCCGATGCCGCAGGCGGAGACGACGCAGCGAGGAGAGACGCCGGTACGATGCTGAGCGCAATTGTCCCTCCACTGGAGAATACAAACAAGCCGGTGTCGCACCAAGCATCACGCGAGACCTCGACGCGGGTTCTTAGCTCGAATCAGCGCCTCACGCCGGACGCCGCCAACAACGGCGATGACGAGGATGAGGCGGATATTTTTGTTCCCGAGTCGTAAGACGGGAGGGCGGGAGGGCGGAGGGGCCACATGCGTCGGATGGCGATAAGGGTTTGTTGTGTGTTTCCACGATGTACAAAGAAAGCGTTTTCCGTGTCGATGAACTTTTCTTGTTTGTTGTTGACTGTTCTCCATTTCTTTTTTTTTCTTGTTGTTGACGGTCTTCCGTGTTCTTTTCTGGAGCTGAGATGTGCTCCGCCGTGTAGTACACTTCGGCGCACCGCGCGCTGTCTGCCAGGCCACTCAACGGGCAGCTGCGGCAATGAGCGGAAAGCTAGTTCATACATATATTTTTATATATTTCTTTCCTGCGAGCGATTCCTATTATCCCCTTTGTTAAAGGGTTTGTGGGCAGCGAGCAACTCCACCGTCCGCAATCGCCGCACACTTTCGAACAGAGGAGTAATAACACTAATAAAGTGGACCTCCCTCGCTGTCCCCCTCTCGTTTTAGCCCATGCAACGGCCATGTATATAGCTGGGTGCGTTAAAGAAGACGATCAGAATACAGATGCGATAACAAGCCGCAACAGCGAAAAGAAAATAAAAAGAGAAAGAAGCTGCGGATTTCGATCAACGGTGGCGGCAGAGGTGATCTTAAAGAAACTTACTACATCGCAGGGCTCCCATTGTAGATTTTCCCTCTCTCTGCCTCTGTGTGCGATGACGACAGTTGTGACGCCAACGAGCGCCTTTGCACAAGCAAGTAGAGGCACCGCGTGCAGTTGCGTGTTTGTGACATGGAGATACGCATCCACGCACGTAAACAATTGACTTTCCAATCACACGCTGTTTCTCCTCCTCACCTGCGTTCTTTTCATTCGCGGGTCATTCTGGGCAGAACGCAGCAACACACCTCGCGAACGTCCGCAGAATACGTTTTTGTGTTCTTCTGCTCAAGGAGTCGCTCCATCTACAGCTTTGCGGAAGTACGGAAAGCAGCGCCTTTTTTTTTTAAACATCAGCAGTACACACACCATCGGAACTCTTTTAGATACCGTATTCATATTTTCATTGATCAATCAGTGTGACACGTGTATATTTATGTATACATACATAAATAAAGAGTTTTGCTGTTTTCAGCTGTTAGGAGGGAATAGGAATGGACCCTCGTAATCTGCCTCGTCCTCCGCTCACTGTCCCCCGCAATTCCTTGAGCACGTCGGCCAACCGTGTTCTAACGTCTTCCTGTTGTGTTGCGTTTACCGGATTTCGCGAGGACGATGAATGGCACGATGCGCACGAAAACGATGGCGTAGGACTTCACGCCAACCCCGACGTCGGTGCGGGCCGCAGCGAGCTGGACGTGTATGATCGGCTCGCCCAGGAAGCGGGGGTTGTGACGCAGCCCACTTTTATGAGCACCACCAGCGTGCTTGTTGCGCGCCGCGGGTTCACCAAGAAGCGACTTCTCGCCGCGCATCGTCGCGTGCCGGTGGTGCTGCCGAGCTGGGTCGAGGACGGCTGCCCGTTGGCGTCGTGGGCGCCACCGGAGAGCCCATCGAGCCCCGCGGACCCCAACACGGCCCACAGCATCACCCCTGTTGATGCCAGTTACGCCGTGCCGTGGCTGCACGGGTACGTCTTTTCCACCACCGGTCTCTCAACGCAAGAGAAAACAGCGATCGAGGAGGTGTGCGTGGAGCGGCACGGCGCGGTGATGGAGGCCGCGCTCACCTACCGTTGCGACGCGCTCTTAGTAAGTGCGGAGTGCATCCGCGAACTGCAGGAGCTGCTGCGACGCGACGCGCTCTCAAGCGATACAGATCGCGCCAAGCAACAACTGCGGCAAGGTCGGCTGCGCGCACGAGCAGAATCCGAAGCAGCCGCAAGGAACTACCAGAACAGCGAAGCCAACCCCGGCAGCGTGCGCGGCGATGGGAGCTGGCTCACCGACAAGATGCGCTTCGCCCTGGAGTTTGACATCCCTGTGGTGGACTACGTGAAGCTGTTCTCGCTTCTACGGTTAGATCGTCTGCCTTCTCCTACGGTAGGGCTGACCTCCTCTCCCGCCTCTGCCACGACAAGCAGGACGAGCCCAAAGGAGGCGAAGAAATCGAAAAGGGAGACCGCCGTTGCGGCTGGATCTGCGTCTGCTGCGGTCGCCTGGCTTCGTGAGGCGGAGGAGGAGGCGCTGAACGGGAATGATTTTGACGCAGTGGTGGGCATCTGCCGTGTCCCCGCTCCGGTTGGAGGGGCAGCGCAGTGGCGCCGTTTGCTGGAGGCGACCGCACCGCCGCTCAGCGAAAGTAGCGACGAGCGAGGGAGGGGCGACGGCGACGGCGACGCAGCGTGCGGTGAAGATGCGCCGGTATGTGCAGACGTGCACGACTCGCCGTCCTCCAACTCCTCCGACGCCTCTTCGTCCGCCTCGACGGTGTCGGATCCAGACGCGTGGGAGGACTTTATGCAGCACGTGCTGGTGCCAGGGTGGAACGGTGGGGACGCCACCAACCCTCCGCAGCCGCAGCAGCGCATCGAGGCCTATCCGGTCGGCGGCCCGACACACAATAGCGCACCCCAGCCGGCAGACCTCGCGCTCAATACTGACGACGTGGATGTGCACCTCGCTTCGGTGGAACCCGCAGCACTGTACGCTTCCGCAGCGGACTACTATTCCGAAACTGGCGTGCGAAGCGACGTGACACAACTGATCGGAGTAGACGCGTGTCTGAATGACGCAAACGCGTCTTGGGAGACAAAGACGGGCAGCGACACCACCATCACCGCCACCCTCGGCGCATCGCAGGTGGACCCGTCGCCACGGCTGACCACAAATGCGCTGCTGCAACGAGATGCGCCACCACGCTCCTCCGACGCACACGCGACGTCCACCGCGGACGAACTTTCAAACGACGACCCGCTCGGAGGTGATTTTGGTGCGTGTGTCGCTGCGTACTACGAAGCGCGGCGCCGTGAGCAACCGTCTTCGCACCGCATGCCCGTGTCAGCCGCACCGTGGCGTGTGCCCTCTCCTCCCTCGCCTTCCACCGCTGGTGCCGATGCAGAGAACGTCAGCGATACGCTACCGATGACCACAGAGGTGTTGGTCGAATCCTGCGTGTCAGCGGATCCGCGGCAGACGCCGTCGGTCGCATCAGCACCTCCTCCAGCCGAGCAGCCAGCATCGAGTAACGCTCTGGCGCGCTTCACGCTGCCCCTCTTTGTCATGCATCCACCCTACCTTACCGTTAGTCTTCTCGGCTGCACAGCCGCCGAGGTGCGACAGGCAAGAGTTTGGTGCGGCATCTGTCGATTTCTGCGTTCGCCTGTTCCTACTGTAGAGACGGATGTGGTGGTGCTGGGGGGCAACGTGCTCCTCCGCAAGAAGTATGTCGTGCCGTCAACGCACACGACGAGAGGGGGGACGCGGAACGGCGGTGGCGTACGAGCAGCTGCGGCGGCGGCGATGCTGAACGCAGCGAAGATGACGTCGCACGGAGGCGCAAAGCGCCGGCAACGTGGGCAACGCGGGACGAATGGCGAAGACGAGGACGCGGTGTGCATTCGGTACTGGGAGCTGGACATGATGCTGGCGCGCGCGTTGGTCGACACGTGTGGAATCGCGCTGAGCCGCATGGCGCCGCTGCGGTGGTTGGAGGATGCCGCCGCTGCATCGCAGAAGGCAGCCGCTGCAGCAGCAGCCGCTGGTCCAACCCATGGGATGAGTTCCGCGGACGAAACAGCGAACACGGCAGACGACGACACAGTGTCACTCACGAACCGCGATAGAGCGGAGATGGAAACCACCACCACGCCTCAGGAGACACTGGCAGACCTTGTAGAGGAACGTCTGGAGGCGGTGCGGAGGGAGCAAGAAGAGCAGCAGCAGCGATTACTTGCCGCGGAAAGCGCAGAGGCAGAAGTAGATGCGGATAGTGACTCTGCTTTTCATCCCTTTCCGGCTCTGCTGCCCGAGCAGCTGCCGTCGCTGGCGAGTCCTCGCTACTACATACGGCTGCGTCGTCCCATCTCCACTTCCATGGCGGCCACCGCAGAGGGCGGCGTCGATGCAAAACCAGTGAAGCCCTCCCTAACACGCACAAAGCACCACACGATTACGGTGGAGGCAGACAGCGCTAACACGAACGTTGAAGCGCAGCAGAATTTATTCCTGCAGAAACAGCAGCAGCAATCTGGTTTGGTTGCGTCGCCGAGCTCTACCGGCAGTTCTTTTTCACCCGTCAGGGCCACTCTGTCGAAGACCAAAACCGACACCGTGGCAAGCTTTGACACAACTCACATGAGCTTCAGCGGCACCGACAGCAAGCACAACAGCAGTAGTCCGCTGTTGATGGGAAGTAATGCGGAGCTGGTCGGGTCTGCATCGCCCCCCGCCTCTCCTGCGTCCTCAGCTAACGCCCCGATAAGTGAGCACTCGTACGACGACGACCTTGCGAATGCGGGTCGTCGCTTTCGTCACCTCATCGAGCTCTTCGTGGTAAACGGAGACGCTGCGATCGGCGAGGCGACGCGGAGCGGTAGTGCGGCGGGGCAAGGCGGCGGCAACTGCGATGCCGCCTGCTCGCGCCGCCGCCACGCTCTGCAGTCCTGCTGCTTCTGCTGCGTAGACGGCGAGTACGCACGGGTGGACTGGGCTGTGCTGCGCGGCCTGGTGCGGTACGGTGGGGGACGAGTGGAGAAAAAAACTGCCGAGGAGTGGGAGAAGCTGCTCACCAAACCAAAGGACCGAAAACAAGCCCCTCTGCCTGCGCAGTCAAGTCTGAGCCATGCGGGTTCTTCACGGGACGGAAACCCCGACGATGCTGTTGATCAGCGTCGCCTTGCTGCTCGGGTTCGCCGCAGCGTCGAGCTCGACAAGCAACAGCGCAAACTGACGCGGCTACTGTTGCGCATGGAGATCAACAACACCGACAGCAAGGGTAATACTGAACTCAGCAGCTCACATGCAGGCAGCCCGAACGTCGTACTGGAGGATGCTCGAGACACTGCGTCAACGAACGCGCGGCACAGTGTTGCGACGGACACGGTCGTGCAGCTCAAAAGGAAGCTAGTCAATGCGGCTCGTGCGTGTCAGCAGTCGCCCACGTTCTGCTTGTTACCGCACAGCTTCCAACGCGCGCCGGCCACCCTCGCAACGGAGCGAGGTGCTGCTGCGACACGCGCTCCATTGGGCAGCCGCCTGCACGCATTACGTGGCCTGGCAAGTGTCACGCAGGATCACATCCTGGCCTGTCTCGCCGTCGGTCACTGCCTGGACCCGCGCAGCTGTTTTCTCTTTTACACCTCCATCCCCAGCGCGCCGGATGTACGCCTCTTTCACGCTCGCACTCCGCAACCCTCACCGCAGCAGTTTTCTACCCCAAACGGTGCGGCCAAAGGCCTGTGCAGCGCAGCGGCGGAGTCGCTTCCGCCTCCTCCGTCTCCTCCGCCAAGCAAGCCGCTACTCTCTACATGGACGCGGGAGAAACGGTATTGCAAGCCGGAGTCCGTCGGTGTGTGCGTCACCTTCCTGTGGCGCCTCCCGTCCTCCGACACTCCGTGGGTCAGCGCAGTCGATACAAGCGAGGCGACACGGCCACGGCCACCACCAGCCGTGCAGCTGGACTCATCAGCCAGTGCCCACGATGCAGAAGGTTATTCCTTTGTGCCATCTGCGCAGCTTGTGCCGCTCATCCGGGTGCTTTTACTGGGATTTCGCAACGCGGTGGAGGCGATGGGCGGCCACGTCGCCGACGCTTTCTCCTCTGCCTCCGCCACGCACGTTGTTGTCGTCGACGTCGCTTCTATCTTGTCCAGCTCCCTCGAAGACATGTACACCGCTGCGGTGACAGGGCCGAGGGACACGCCCGCCAGCACGCCTTCCTTACCCACCGCAGCGAGTGAACAGGAAGGGGGCGAAGGTGCTGACACTTCACATTGTTATTGGCCAGCCGATGCCGTACCGGCGATGGTGCGCTCTGCAGCTCGACAGGAGGTTTCGCTGGTCCGTCTCGATTGGCTCGCCAGCTGCGTCAAATGGGGCTCCTTCATCGACGAGGCGGCTTTCACTCCACCAAGTGATCTCCAAGCGTGCGTTGTGGCATGCCAGCAACAAGTACACAAACCGAAGCAACAGCAGCGTCCCCACGCGTCGCAGCTGCCGTCGAGGAAGCGGATAAAACACGCGACCGATCAACAGAAGCCGCTGCTGACGTCGCAGAGTATTCGAGATGGCTCCGCCGCACGCGCCGCGGTGGCGCGAAAGCGCATACGCACGTCGTCACCAGCACCTTCTTCCGCTTCGTTGCGCACGGAGACGGCGACGGCGTCAGATGCCGGCCAAGTCACGGCGGCAGCGCCACACACTCCACCTCGACCCTGGCCGGCCGCCAAAAAGCACATGGACGAAGGGCAGCCGCGTCCGTCGCTCTCTTTTCTCTCTGCCCCTCCAACGGACCTTCACGATGGCAACAATCGCAGCCGTGCGGTCGGGGAAGGCGACACAGACAGCGGTGTGCACACCCCGGTCATGCGTCGACTGCCGCCGTCTCCCTCTGCTTCGAACAGCAACAGCATCGTCGAGCCGTGCACGCCGCCCCCGCGACCACCGGTTCCCATGAACCGCCTTTCCAAGAAACATCCCTACGTCCTCCACATTGACTCCAAGCAGTCCTCGCCCGTTCCCCCCTCCGCCCGCTCCGGCTCGCATTCCCTGCCTCCACCATCCGCCGTCAGTCGTCGCAGCGTGTCCGGCAGCACGCATCGGCAGCGCGCCTCGCCTTCCGCGTCGCAGCACAATACCTACTCCCTTGCGGAGCAGCAAGACGCGGAGGCCTACGTGACACACCTCGGAACGATGTTCAACTTCTGCTCTCCGGGATCTACCCCGCTCCCGTCGTCGTCGTCGGCCCGTCGCGGGCGGCAGCTGTCGATGTCTGCGGTTCAACAGGCCGACTACACACCGCTGCCGGAATCGTTTCGCGACCACGTGCTGCACCAGATGCTCGATCACCCCGCTTCCTCTCCACAGAACAATACGCAGCAAGAAAGCACTTCTGCGGAGGCGCCGTTAGAGGTCCTGACGCCACCTCTGACCACACAGATGTCGGGTGTTCTTTCTACACCGCGACGTCGTACGCTGCGGGCCGTTGCAGCGGCAGCAGCAGCTGCGTCGTCCACCGTCCCACGCGGCTCTCTTGGCAGTCCGGATCGACGTCGACACCGCGCCGACGGCTTGTCTTCCTCTGATAGTGCGGCATGTCCCTTCAACGAGTCTCAGACGACGGATGATCAGTATCAAAGCCACAGAATTGAAGGAATAGTAGCAGCAGCAGTGCCAGCGCTCCCGTCTTCGAATGTCAAGTCGAAAAAGGGAAGCACACCCGTGGACAATACACGTGTAGTGCCGATGTTGTTGGGCGGTGGTGGAAGCACCCTCCTCAGCCGAGGCGGAACAGAACTCAATGGTCACGCGCTCCCAGACTGCGCTAGCAACAGTGACAACGTCTCGTGTGAGAAGGCGGCAAGTCCGGGGCCGATGAGTCATGAAGGTGCGAGTACGGCGGTGACCGTTTCTCTGAGAAATGCAGGCAATACGAATCAAACAGAGGAGGAGGATAGAGGAGTGTGGGTGGCACGTACGCCGTCGTCGCCGTTGTCGTCATCTGTTGCTGCTGCCGCGGAGGAGGAACAGCCTCTCGCTTCATCCGACAGCACGCAACGGCAAGATGTGCTATGCCGCTTTACGGGCGAAGCTCCGCCGTCGGAGGACGAAACAACTGTTCCGCTTCCCTGTACGGTGGAGGCGGCGGCTCCTCTGACGGAGGTCCAACAAACGGCGCCGTGCTTTTCCTTTTTGGACGACGTCGTGCCCGACTCGCAGTCCTGTGGAAGAGAAGCGGGAGACGGGCGGGATGGCGTGTTGGTGCCGGTGTCGTTCATTACAGCGACGGACGGCGCGTATGCGGCCTACGCTGATGCGTTAACAGCGGAAGGACAGCGGACGACCGAGGAAGCAAAACAGTCGAAGGTACGGCATTCCCTTGAACTGGTTGATGGTGCACCTCCGATGGTGCTGGCCGCTGAAAGCGAGGAAGATGGACATGACAGAGCAGAGCTGGAGGGAAGAGACACCGCGGCCTTCCTCCACGTTGAGAGAGGGGCAAGCCTTCATGCCGATGAACTCGGAAGCCGAGGTGGTCGGCCACGCTTGGGGACGTGTAGTGTACCCCGACAGCTCTCCCCCTCCCCGGCGCCGCCTGTTGTACGCCAGACGGAAGATGCCGTGGTGGACGTGGACGACGACAGCAACGAGGAAGAAGAGGAGCACGACCTGAACGATAAAGCTGTTGATCGTATGAGGAGCAACAGAGCACCGCCTCACGCGTCATCGACTGTCTCACCAATGCCGACGGCCTCCCCGTGGCCGACACATCGGCCTTTGAGCTTGTCGCGTCGCACCTCGCGTTCGCCTGCGCCACCTGCGCAACCCGTCAGCGCACACGACGTTGATGAACAGCAGAAGAAGAATAAACTGGCAGCCGCTGCGCCTTCACCGAAGCAGCGGCAGCACAAGCAAAGTGCAAGCGGGGGGCACTCTTGTTGTTTGCGCGTGTACGTGCTGCACGACGTGCCGCTACGCGAGGCGCGCGTGCGACGGTGCCACGAGGCTGTTCAACAGTTTACGCAGGGCAGCAACTCCCCCGCAACGCCCACTATCCCACGGCCAGATCACAACGCTCTCCCACTTCAGCACCGTTCAAGGACAAAGGAAGACGTACACTGTGATCACCAGACGCCTTCCGCAGACTACGACGACGTACCTCCGGTGTGCTTCGTCGCGCGGTGCGAAGATGCGGATGTGTGCGTTACACACGAAGTGACGTTGCGGGAGAGCGTGCTTGTCGCCATCGCCCTCGGTTGCTGGGTCGTGCAACCTGGCTTTCTCGAATGTGTGGCGGCCGTTTTAGAGGGCTCTTCGCGTAGTCGTAGCATTCGTAGTCGTCAGCGGGATGATGGATCCGCCTCGACAGACCTTCGCAAGCTGCACCTACTGCCGCATCCACACGCACGAGCAGCTGCACCACACGCCGCTCCCGCTGCGACGGTGATGTGCTATAGTCGGTTGTGTGAGATGTGTGCGACATACGAGTGGACGTCTGCAACAGCGGCAGCGACGTCGCCTGCGTTGTCTTCCCCCATGTACCGCTGTCTCGTACTGCAGTGTCGACGACGGCGTCAAGCTGCACAGGCGCGTCTACTCTGCCGTCGTGAACACAGTGGAGGAACGGTGGCGGCAGCAGCAGCGGCAGCACGGCTGGCAGGCGGTGCAGGCGGACTGGCAAACATGTTTGAAGACACCTCCTTTCTGTTTTTTTGTGCTGCCTCCTCGGAGTTCGAAGGGACCGCTGAGGCGCAGGCGTCGGCCGCGAAGGGCGGTAGTGAGCGGCTCGGTGCACTTTGCCGCCTTCTGAGGGCCGGAGGAGGTACCGTGCTCTCCGTCGTGCAGGTAGGCGTTTCGCAGAATGTCACGCAGTGTGGACAGCTTCCGCCAACGTCGGCGTCGTCCTCGTCTGCATCCGGCCTGCTGCGCTGTTGCTGCACGAGCAGCCGTCTCTGCCGGGCAATGCGCACGCGGACCGACGCCGCGATGCGAGTTGAAGTCGCTGCGGCGGACCTGTACCACGATCTGCTGCTCACTTTGTGTGATGCCGTGTACCGTCAAGGCAGTCGTGATAGCGAGGCCGCCGTGGCACTGTCATGCCCACCCCATACAAAGAGTCCTCCTCCGTATCATGAAGGTGGCAGCAGCCACTGTGTTCAGCAGCACCGGAGAGAAGAGAGCGAAGACGAATCGTTGATCGTGTTGCTTGACGCATCCCTCCTTCACACCACCGGCGCAGGGAAGATCGGAGAAGAACAATGCTGTGTGGTGCTGACGCAGCAGGACGGAGCGCTAGCTGCTGCCGAGGGAAGGCTAGCGAAGTCGCAGCAGCCCCAGCAAAGCCGTAGTGCTGAAGCCGATGCGCGTGAAGGTTCGAGCCACAACGGCCAATCTGAAGAATCATCTTTGCGCAAGAACACAACGGCGCCAGCAACACCGATAGTTTCCTGTTCCTTTGAGGCGTGGCTTGCGAGCTGGCTGGCATGCTCAAACAACAGCGGCGCTGCGACGGAAGAAGGTTCGTACTACTCTTCAGCGGCACAGCACGCGATGCGCTCGCATCTCAGCGCTTGCTGCTCGCTCGTGTACCACCTCCACAAAATCAACAGCACGTCAAAGCCGGCCACGGCGCTTTCATATGAGGAAGAGGAGGAAGGTAAAGAATTGCCTACCACGTCTTCGCTTTCTGCTGTGGCGGAAGCCCGATGGTCGTACACGACGCATGACATCTCTTTTGACGTCCCCACCCTCGAAGAGGTGCTGCGCGCCTACCACCGCGACGGTGAAGGAGGATCTACGTGTTCATCCCGTGTGGCTGCCGTTGCTCGCGTGTGGCAAGGTAAGGCGAGCAGCGCACGACGGGTGCAGTTCCGATGTGCCAGCTGGGTTGGCGCCTGCGTGGCCGCGGGTGGGTCATCGGTGATGGCCGCTGCCGCCGCAGCCGTAACAGCAACGGCCGATGCCACACCGCGAGACTCGTTCCACGCGCAGGACGGTGATGCGTGGATGCGAGAGTGTGACGCGCTGACACTTTTAGCGGTGCTGCCGTACCTGTAAACACCCGTCACGTACAGAAGAAGAAGTTATGGCTCGTTGCGACGTTAGGCTCTTATAGAGCCCCCAAAAACTGTGATGATAAAAGGGTGACTACGTCGTGAAGGAAAATCTGGGCTGCTTGTTTTTTTCTTTAGTCGTTACAGTGCACCTTTTTTTCTTTTTCTGTTTTTACCCAAGACGGTTTTCCCATTTGACTTGTGTGGTGGCAGACGAACTGGGGAAAGAAAAAAGCATACACGATAAGATCACCGCAACTAGCGTGTTGTTATTGTGTGAATCGAAGTTCTGCCGTGAGCAGTGTGCAACGCTACTTTTTCTCTATCTGCGCGCTCTTCTTCTCTATTCTCCTCTCTCTCCCGTCATACCCTTTCCTTGGTTCTTTTCTCTTGAATACCTAAATGCGAACTGCGCCCCTCTCGCTGCAGATTTTACAACGGACATTTTTTTCTGGTACTGAGCGCCTGTTTTCACGCATCAGCTCGTCTCTCTCTCTCTCTCTCTCTCTGTCTCTTAGCAATACCTGCTTTGCTCTAGCCTCTTTCTCTTCCTCTACTACTACTACTACTACTACTGTTATTCCGTGAACGTGCAGCGAGGGCGTGCTTGTACTCATCTCCCCTCCCCACCCCACCCCCTCCTCCTTCTCCTCCTTTATTCGCTCTTTTATCGGCCAGACGAGGGATTAGGTGCGTTGGAACTCTACGAAGTCGCTGCACTTTCTTGTTTTTGTTTTATTTCCCCTCTACTCGTACGTTAGACCAAAGACAAGAAGAACACGTTTTTTTAAACGAAGAATAAAAATGACGACCAACGCTATTGGCATTGATCTGGGCACGACCTACTCCTGCGTCGGCGTCTTCAAGAACGACCAGGTGGAGATCATCGCGAATGACCAGGGCAACCGCACGACGCCGTCGTACGTGGCCTTCACGGAGACGGAGCGCCTGGTCGGCGACGCGGCGAAGAACCAGGTCGCGATGAACCCGCACAACACCGTCTTCGACGCCAAGCGCATGATCGGCCGTAAGTTCGACGACCCCGATCTGCAGTCCGACATGAAACACTGGCCCTTCAAGGTCACCGTGAAGGATGGCAAGCCCGTCGTGAACGTGGAGTACCAGGGGGCGACCAAGACCTTCTTCCCGGAAGAGATCTCTGCGATGGTGCTACAGAAGATGAAGGAGACGGCCGAGGCGTACCTCGGTGTAACCGTCAAGGATGCCGTGGTGACGGTGCCGGCCTACTTCAACGACTCCCAGCGTAAGGCGACGCAGGATGCCGGCTCCATCGCGGGGCTCAACGTGCTGCGCATCATCAACGAACCGACGGCGGCCGCCATCGCCTACGGCATGGATCGCAAGAACGACAAGGGCGAGAAGAACGTGCTGATCTTCGACCTGGGCGGCGGCACGTTCGATGTGACGCTGCTGACGATCGAGAGCGGCGTCTTCGAGGTGAAGGCGACGGCTGGCGACACCCACCTCGGCGGCGAGGACTTCGACAACCGCCTCGTCGACTACTTCGCGACGGAGTTCAAGATGCGCTGCGGCAAGGACTGCCGCGTGAACGCGCGGGCGACGCGGCGGCTGCGCACGGCGTGCGAGCGCGTGAAGCGCACGCTGTCCAGCTCCACAACGGCCAACATCGAGATCGACGCCCTCTACGAGGGCAGCGACTTCTTTTCCAAAATTACGCGGGCGCGCTTCGAGGAGATGTGCCGCGATCAGTTCGAGAAGTGCCTCGAGCCGGTGAAGAAGGTGCTGGCGGACGCGGATATGAAGCCGCAGGACGTAAACGACGTCGTGCTCGTTGGTGGCTCGACCCGCATCCCGAAGATTCAGCAGATGGTCTCGCAGTTCTTCAACGGCAAGGAGCCGAACCGCTCCATCAACCCCGACGAGGCCGTCGCGTACGGTGCGGCGGTGCAGGCGCACATCCTCGCCGGTGGCCAGTCGGACAAGACAGACGGCCTGCTGCTGCTCGATGTCACGCCCCTCTCCCTCGGCGTGGAGACGGCCGGCGGCGTCATGTCGGTGCTCATCCCGCGCAACTCCACCATGCCCGTGCAGAAGACGCAGACCTACTCGAACAACGCCGACAACCAGCGCAACGTCGAGATTAAGGTGTACGAGGGTGAGCGCCCGCTCGTCTCGCAGTGTCAGTGCCTCGGCACCTTCACACTCACCGACGTCCCGCCCCTGCCGCGTGGTAAGGCCCGCATCAACGTGACCTTCGACGTGAACACAGACGGCATCTTGCTTGTGAGCGCCGTGGAGGAGTCTGGCGGCCGCAAGGAAGCCATCACCATCAAGAACGACACGGGACGCCTCAGCAAGGATCAGATTGAAAAGATGGTGCAGGAAGCAGAGAAGTTCGCGGAGGAGGACAAGTTGAACAGCGAGCGAGTGGAGGCGCGCAACACGCTTGAGAATTACACCTTCTCCATGCGGGCTACCCTCGACGACCCCGATGTGCAGACCGGCGTGAGTCAGGAGGACCGTCAGAAGATTCAGGCAGCAGTGAGCGTTGCGTCGAACTGGCTCGACAGCAACCCAGAGGCGACGAAGGAGGAGTACATGGAGCAGACGAAGGTGATCGAGGCGGTGGCCCACCCGATACTCGCGGAGTTCTACAAGAAGCGCGTGATGGAGGCGCCGCCGAGCGCGGGTGCCGCTGCGCCGCACGAGGGCGAGGAGGGAGAGCCGCGCGGTGAGGCCCCGAGTGCGCAGGATGTCGACTAAGAGTTGAGAAAGAGAAAGCAAGGAAAAGTGGGGACGAAAGGGAGGTGGGCGAGAAACACGGACGGGATCACCGCACAGCCTAAGGAAAGAAAAACAGAACAAATAAAACGCGCACAACGATACAGCAGTGGAGACTATTTTTCTTTTTCCCTCATCCTCTCCTCCGAACGCGGTGAAGTGAGGTTTACGGATGGAGAGAAAAAGAAAGAGTTCAACGACAACGAAGAACGCCCCCATGGGAGCGCCGTTGGAGGCGCGGATTAGCACTGTACTATCTCATGTTGTTATTATATATATTGTGTGTTCTGTTTGTCTCTGCTTTCCCACTGTTCGTTTTTCGCGGTCTTTTTTTTTGCTTCTTCTTTCCCCCGCTGATTAGAGCTCCTTATCCTTCATGGGTGCTGTTGGTACTGTTTGTAGCTCTACCGTTTCTTCTCATTTGCTATCGTCTATTCCGATTCCGCTCTCCGACTTTTCGTCTTCGGTGTGAACTGCCCACTTCTGGGTTGTTCCGTGTGTGTGTGTGTTTCTTTAACTTATTTTCATCTTTATTATTATTGTTGTTAAAGCAAGATAATTGGCTTGTGACTAACGAAAAGGAATCCAAAAAGAAAACAGAGGAAGCATCGTGCGTGCATGCGTGGCTACACCTGTCGTCTGCGAGGCAGCGTACCCAAACTGTCTCTCTCTATATATATAGAAAAGAAATAAGAATCTACACACTCTTGTCTTTTTTCTTTCGTGTGTTTTCGTTCAGATGCGTTTTCTTTTTTAAATAAAGAAAAGACGCGTTGTTTTGAATAGAATGGAGCGGCAAGCAGCTGTGCCACAACGAACCTCGTAGTACGATTATTTGATAACAACGATGATGATGAGGGCTGTGTGAGTGTGTGTGTGTTGCCTTCTTATTTTCTTCTCTGTCTGTGTGTGTGTGTGTGTGTCGGCCCTGCAGGTTCTGATTTCTTTTGTTTCCTAATTTCTATGCCGGGAGCGGAATGCCTGCACAAACCAACCGCGTTACACCTCTCTTTGTTCTTCTCTGCTTTGCGTGAGGTCACCGTTCACGGCAATGCCGATCGCTGAAGGCTCGCATTCTTCCCTCCCGCCTCCTCCCCTTCCCAAGAGAAGAGAAAATGTGTGACAGAGGAGAGGAAAAGGAAAGGAGTTGTTGTTTCATGTTCTCACTGTATTCTCGATCTTCTTACGTCGCTTTTCGTGAGCCTTTGTTTTCTTCTTTCCACGTAGTAGTCCGCTTATTTCCCAGCAACAGCAAATTTACACCACCACAGCGAGCTCGCGCATCACTCCCTTCTCCCATCCAGGTATCTACACCAAGAACGACAAGGAAAACACTCATTCTTTCTGTCGCGATGCCGTCACTCAAGGAGCAGCTGGACCAGATGGTGAAGGAGGTGCAGCCGCAGGTCATCGAGTGGCGCCGCCACATCCACGCCCACCCGTGCCTCAGCCACCAGGAGGGCCCCACCGTGGCCTACGTGCAGGACATCCTTCGCTCCTTCTCCGACAAGCTGATCATCACCAACCCCACGGAGCACAGCATCCTGGCGGACCTGAAGGGCGGCGCCGGCGAGGGTCCGATGATCGCGCTGCGTGCGGACATGGACGCGCTGCCGCTGGAGGAGCTGACGGATGTGCCCTTCAAGTCTCAGAACCCCGGCGTGATGCACGCGTGCGGGCACGACACGCACACCGCAATGCTGCTCGGTGCCGCAAAAGTTCTCTGCGCTGTGCAGGACAAGATGAAGGGCACCGTGCGCTTCGTGTTTCAGCACTCCGAGGAAGCAAGTCCCAGCGGTGCGAAACAAATGGTGGCGGCCGGTGCGATGCAAGGTGTGGACATGGTCTTTGGACTGCACAACGACCCCAGTTTGGCGGTAGGCCGGGCTTCATCACGCCCGGGCATCGCCTCCAGCGCGGTGATCGACTTCAACATCACTGTGCATGGCAAGGGCGGTCACGCGTCGGCGCCGCAGCTGTGCACGGACCCCATTGTGATCGCCTCCGACATCGTGATGAACCTGCAGACGATCGTGTCGCGGCGCATTGCTGCGTCGAAGGTGCCGGTGATCAGCGTGACGACGCTGCAGGCCGGCACGGGCAGCTTCAACGTGATTCCGGACACCGCGAACATCCGCGGCACCATCCGTGCTCTCAGCGATGAGGGCGAGCGTGACGCGCCGCGGATGCTGGAGAAGACAGCGAACGCCATTGCTGGGCTGTACGGCGCGACGTGCACCTTTGATTGGCCCGAGGTGGTCTACAGCATGCGCAACGATCCGAAGTGCTTCGAGATCATGAAGAAGGTGTGCATGGAGAAGCTGGCCGAAGGGGAAGCGAGCTTCGTGCCTATTAAAGAACCCATGTTCGGCGCGGAGGACTTCTCGGAGTTCGAGCGGGTGGTGCCGGGGTGTTTTGGCAACTTCGGGGTGAAGAACGAAGCGATTGGTGCGTGCCACGACTGCCACAACTCGTCGTACAAGGCCGATGAAGCCGGCTTCGTGACGGCCACCCGCATCCACGTCGGTCTGGTTGAGGAGCTTCTTATTCCCGCATAGCGCCTGTTTCTGAACTCGCACGAGTTCACAACCCCCGCAACTGTGGTGTTTACCCGAATCGACACGTTTTTTTTTTTCAGGTGCCGTCTGCGAAAGCACGCACACAATCGTGCAAACCTTCGCGCTTTGTCGCTGTGTCGCTCTGTCGCTCTTCAGCTCTATTTCCTCGTAGCCTTCTTGTGTGTGTGTGCGCGCGCTCAACGGAGCTCTTTCATTTCATACGTTTTCTTTCTTCTCCTATCGCGTTTATCGTCTCTCTTCTCTCTCTCTCTCTCAGTTGACATACTCTGATTTAGGACTTATTTCATTTCCAAAATGCATCAGGGATGCTTGTTGTTCGTCTTTTTGTGTTTCTTTTTTTGCCTTCATTCGGTTTTTGAGACGTAGTGCGCTTATTTGGAGTAGCTGAGCGAGTTTACCTGGTGCGTGTGAAAGAGAACTCGATACCAGATAGGGGCACTAGCTCCCTTTTTCTTTCTTCTTCTTTGTTGTCCTTGAAGCGTTCTTTCCCACCTTCTCTATATGCATAAATACACATTACACTGACGTTTTGAAGGCAGGTCTTTGCTAACCTATTGCTGCCCCATTTCGATGTGCGTAACACGATGAGCTTATTTATGGGTATGCGTAGTATTAGCTGAACTATCTTGCGGGTATTTGGTATCACAGGAGGTGCGTCCTCTTTATCTCGCACCGCAGTCTTTTCTTTTGTTGCTGTTCTTTTTACCCGACTCACACCCTCAATAGGTGATGAATGCTCCGCGCAAATGCGAATTTTCTCGCACAGGTGAGAAATTGCGCTGACGCTACTGCAAATCTACGTTTCTTAAAGGATGCACACAACTCTTCTGTTTTTCTTACCCTTCTCATTATTCTTCTTCGAATTCTCTTTTTTTTTGCCTTGAACACCTGCGAGCGTTTCTTTGTTCTCCTTCAAACTGCCAACTGCTTTGTGCCCGTGAGTAAAAGGTGCCGCCTCGATCATCCAGTCTGCATTCACGCATCGCCTCGTTTGTTTCACGTCGTTGCGTGCATTTCAAAGAGCCTCAAGCCCGTTTTCGCTCAGCGCAAATCGTTGTTCACCGCTGCCTGATCACGCGCTTCTCCAGATTCATCATGCCGTCACTCAAGGAGCAGCTGGACCAGATGGTGAAGGAGGTGCAGCCGCAGGTCATCGAGTGGCGCCGCCACATCCACGCCCACCCGTGCCTCAGCCACCAGGAGGGCCCCACCGTGGCCTACGTGCAGGACATCCTTCGCTCCTTCTCCGACAAGCTGATCATCACCAACCCCACGGAGCACAGCATCCTGGCGGACCTGAAGGGCGGCGCCGGCGAGGGTCCGATGATCGCGCTGCGTGCGGACATGGACGCGCTGCCGCTGGAGGAGCTGACGGATGTGCCCTTCAAGTCTCAGAACCCCGGCGTGATGCACGCGTGCGGGCACGACACGCACACCGCAATGCTGCTCGGTGCCGCAAAAGTTCTCTGCGCTGTGCAGGACAAGATGAAGGGCACCGTGCGCTTCGTGTTTCAGCACTCCGAGGAAGCAAGTCCCAGCGGTGCGAAACAAATGGTGGCGGCCGGTGCGATGCAAGGTGTGGACATGGTCTTTGGACTGCACAACGACCCCAGTTTGGCGGTAGGCCGGGCTTCATCACGCCCGGGCATCGCCTCCAGCGCGGTGATCGACTTCAACATCACTGTGCATGGCAAGGGCGGTCACGCGTCGGCGCCGCAGCTGTGCACGGACCCCATTGTGATCGCCTCCGACATCGTGATGAACCTGCAGACGATCGTGTCGCGGCGCATTGCTGCGTCGAAGGTGCCGGTGATCAGCGTGACGACGCTGCAGGCCGGCACGGGCAGCTTCAACGTGATTCCGGACACCGCGAACATCCGCGGCACCATCCGTGCTCTCAGCGATGAGGGCGAGCGTGACGCGCCGCGGATGCTGGAGAAGACAGCGAACGCCATTGCTGGGCTGTACGGCGCGACGTGCACCTTTGATTGGCCCGAGGTGGTCTACAGCATGCGCAACGATCCGAAGTGCTTCGAGATCATGAAGAAGGTGTGCATGGAGAAGCTGGTCCGGTGGCCCGGCGTCGTTCACTGAGTTGCAGGAGGCCCGTTTCGGCGCGGAGGACTTCTCGGAGTTTGCAAGCGTGGTGCCGGGGTGTTTTACTCGTGTGGGCGTGCGGAATGAGGCGAAGGATGCGATTCACAACACACACAGCTCCTCTTACAACCCGGATGAGGATGGCTTTGAGTACGGCACTCGGTTGCATGTGGGTCTCGTGGAAGTGCTGTTGATCGAATAAAACGGGGCTTTCCCGAAATCCAAGGAGAGACACAAATAGCGCACACCGTGAGTTTTTTTTTTTCCACTGCGATGACAAGAAAGAAAAAAGGAAACGAAACAGATGTGTAATGATTTATCACCAGCCGTTCAAACGCGCTTTTTCTTTCTTTCTTTCTTTCTCTTCCGCGTATTAGTCGTGTGAAGAGTGTTCTGTGTTGCTGCAACTGGCGAAAAATGAATGCACAGCACAGTACGGCTCCCGTTGACCGCCGCGTGTCGTGTCGTGCGTGCGTTATGGCAGAAAAGACCGTGAAAGAAGAGAGGGGGTGGTGAATTCAGCCTCTTAAGATAAAGACTAGCTATTATTATTATTATTATTATTATTATTTTACTTAGTGTTGTAGAATGAGTCCGTCGTACTCTGAAACGCTTACCGTCGTGTCTTTTTCCTCTTTGTTGTGGTGGCTTTATCATCCACATCACTATCGTCTTTATTTAACGTTACATGGACAAATACACATTTTTTTTTCCTGTTCCCTTCACGCAGCAAGGTGATCCTCCCGTTCGTGAAACTGCCAAAACATCAACGCCGGCAGCTTTCACGAAAGTCTTCCTGAACAATTGTCTAGCGCCTTCAACTACGCTGATTTTTTTTTCTTGCTTCTCTATCTTTGTATCTTTACTGTACTCCTTTACGTCTTGCAAAAAGCACACATTTGCGAGAGCATGTGCTACCCGCGTGGGGAGGTATATATGAAGCCGTGTCGTTCAACTGAGTACGCTTACTTTAGTACCTCTACAACCACGTTGTGTCTGTTTTCCGTGTGTTTTCGTCTTTGCGGTTTCTTTTTATTGTTATAAGAAAACAGGAGCTTTCTCTGTGTGTTGTAATTCTCCAGGCGACGGGGTGGGGATACTTTGGAAAAACAAAAAATGTTTCTTTATTGAAACAGAACGCGGCGCTGAAAACTGTCAGCTGAATTCCGTCGCTCTTTGTGTCAGGTCAGAAAAAAGGAGATTTTGAAAACGAAGAATATCGCTGAGAATCTATGAAGGGAAGAATAACGCCGCCTTTCCTGTGCTAACCGGACTCCGTGAAAGGGCAGACAGAGCCGCTAGCCCACGCCTTCTATGGAAAACGAATACAACCAGGTGAGCATTTTGCGGGTAGGGGGGGGGGGGGTAGGTTGTTGTTCGTACTGCTGCGAAAGCGTGCACTGCGCCATCGCGTGTTTTTTCTTCCTTTCTTTCTCTTAGGAAACCGAAGTTATGCCGCAATATCCATCTTCTTCTTCTCTTTACTCTTTCTTGTTCTTTCCTGCTTTCTACATCACGAATTCAATCTTTTTTTTAGAGAAGAATAGATTCTTCACTGCGTGTCTGCGCGTTGCTGAACTTTTTGTTTTTCCCCTCTCTCTCTCCCTTTTCTCTCGTTCCTTGCTTATTCGTTAGCTCACATCATGCAAGTCTCACTGCACAACACCGTGAAGACGTACAACCTCACCGCCGGCAAGTCCCTGCCGGAATGGCTGAGTGAGCGACGTAAAAACAAGAAGGCGGTGGCCGGTCAGGAAGGCCGCGTGGAGCTGCTGCACGACCTCGAGTTTCCGCACTGCGCGCGCTGCATCTTCCGCTGCGCCAACGGCACCCACCTCTTCGCGGCGGGCGACTACCCCTACCGCCTGAAGTGCTTTGACGTGAACGACTTGAGTATGAAGTTCAGCTTTAATGCAGATATGAACATCTTGTCCGGCGTGTGCCTCTCGCCGGACTACCGGAAATTCGCGCTGCGCGGAGAAGGCCGGCAGATTACCGTCCACCACACCTCGTCCATTGTGGATCGCGTGCGAGTGCCTCACCTCCAGCGCTCCCTCGCCTACAACCCTTTTCAAGCGGAGCTGCTGTCGAGCGGCGTGTCGGCGGAGATCTACCGGGTGAACCTCGAAACAGGCGCCTTTGTGGAGAGCTACCACACGAGCAGCGACACGGGCGTCAACCACGTAGAGGTGTTTGGCCGGCACGGTCCCATCAGCGGCGTCGTCCTCACGGCAGGCAGCGACGGTGCGATTGAGGCGTGGGACAGTCGTGCCGGGACGGCCGTGGCGCGCGTGCAGGTCGCCGGCGGCAGCAGCAGTGGTGTGGAGGCGCGCTGCGAGGTACGTCACATCGCGACGGAAGACAACGGTGGTCTGCTCTTCACCTGCGGCTTGGAGAGCGGCGAGGTGCTGCTCTACGATGTGCGCCTGCAGAAGCCGCTGCTCGTGAAGGATCACATGAACAGCCTGCCCATCGTGAAGACGTACTTCTTCAACGGCAAGAGCACCGCCACGGGCGAGGCCAGCTTCATTCTCTCGGCCGACACGCGCTCGCTGAAGGTGTGGAATAAGCACGACGGCAGCAACTTCACCACCATCGACGCGCCGGCCGACATCACCGACTTCACGCTCTTGAAGGGTCAGCACAATATGGTGCCGCCGTACGAGTGTGATGACAGTGGTGTGGTGGCGATTTGCTGCGACGTACCGCGGGTGCAAGTGCACTTCATTCCACAGCTCGGCGCAGCTCCGCGCTGGGCCTCCTTCTTGGAGGTGATGACGGAGGAGCTGGAGGAGAAGGAGTCAACGACGGTGTACGATGACTACACGTTTATTCCAAAAGAAGAAATGGACGCCCTCGGGATCGCGGCGGAGGACCTGGCGGGCGGCAAGGTGCGTCCGGTGATGCACGGCGCCTTTATCGAGAACGGCCTGTACCGCGAGCTGCACGCTGTGGTGGACCCGTCCGGGTTTAACAGCTACGTCGCGGCGAAGGCGAAGGAGCGGCAGTCGAAGCGGTGGTCAGACCGCATTAGTCGCTTCCACCGACCCACCGCGGCGGAGGAGGAACTGGAGGACGACGCGGCGGTGGTGGCGCCCTCGGCACTGGCCGCGGCGAAGGCGGACCCCCGGTTTGCGCGCGCCTTCGACGCAACGACGGGACGTGCGGCCGCGTCTTTTGCCCTCGACCGGCGCAACCCCGAGTACGCGAAGCTGCTGCAGACCATCGATGAGCGCCGTGCGAAGGCGTCGGCGCGGCGGGAGCGGTATGAGTCGGACATGTTTGCCGTGGTGCCCGACACGGATGGCGCGGAAGATGGCGATCAGCAGCAGAGGGGAGATAATAAGCCCTCAACGGCCGGTGCCAGCCGCGACGAGGATGATGCGGATGAAGATGCGCGTCATCACCTGCGCGGGGTGCAGAGCAGTGGCAAGTTTAAGCGCCGCACACCGCAACAGCAGCAGCAGCAGCACGCCAAGTCATCCGAGCGGGACGGCGGCAAATCGGTTGCCACGCATGGCGGTTCGGGCAAGCAGGTGACAATGTTTGAGGTTGCGGAGAAGAACGCGGAAATCTTTATGCGCAACGATAAGCAGGTGCACGCCACCCGTAAAAGGTCGCGTGCGGAGAAACTGTCCTTGGGGGATCGCTTGAAGCGAGCGGCGGCCTCTCCGTAAGGGAAAATGTTTAAAAAATAATTATGAGTTTTCTAATTATCAATGAAAGTAGCTCCTCGTAATGGATCGTTTAACGTGCTTCTTTCAAAACAACGCATGCCAAACCCGATATGTGTCACGTATCTGGTAAAAGAATGAGAGAGAGAGACACGAGGTGAGAAATACGCCCTTCCGCAGCGTTTTTCGTGCTTTTTTGTGTCCTCGACACAAACAGGACGGCAAGCACGAAAGCGAGCCATATAATTCGATTCCCTCAGCCCTCAGAGGAGTTTTTCCAGAAGAGGAGAGGGGAAAAAATGCCAGAGTAAGCTTCAGAAGGCAGTTTGTGCGCGTCTTTCACGCTGCGCAAAGGTATTAAAAAGAGCGAGTGGGTCTACCTTCATCTGCCCGTTTTCTTTCAAGCTACGAGCTATATATATGTACAAATACATACATCACTTGGCTTACTTCGTTCCTTGTTTTTCTTTCTCTCCCTCCCTACTGCTGCATTTCTCTCCTGCCATTCTTTTTGACGACTTTGTTCATCTGTGTTTACTGGTGATGCACCACAGAACTCACAACGCACGTCACCGTAGCACTACAACGACGCTCTTGTTTCCTTTCTTTTTCTTTTTCTTTCTAGTTCTCTCTCTCTCTTGCAGTGACGAGTGTGTTCGCTTTATCGCCGCCGCGAACTCCCTCCTTCTCCAATACTAACTTAAAAAGAAGAAGTATCCGCTCTCGTCGTTGACGAAGAACAACGGAGCGCGGAGTACCCAGAAAGAACTGCCGAAGCGGCGGCGAAGACTGCGAAGTTGCTGCGAATACGAAAACAATACGCTCTCTTCGTGTGTTTGTCTGTTTTATGTTCTTGAAAGTGACAGTGACGTTCTGAAAGTTCACTCCCCCCAAAAAGAGATTGAAGAATTTTAAAGGCGCCTGCAGACTCGTGTGCATTGCATTGTCTTTCTTTTCTCTTCTCTTCTGTCTCCCCCAGACGCGAAAAGACGCGTTCTCCGTACATTTTTTTTTTTTGAGCTCAGGCGTTGCCGTTGTCTTGTCCGCAACTTTTTTTTCTTCCAACATCTCTCTCTCTCTCTCTCTCTCTCTCTTTTGTTTTGTATTTCTTTCCTCCTCTTTTCTTGTTTTTCTTCTTTATTATTATTATTATTATTTGTAACGCAAATAGAGAAGACAAAATTTTTTCTTCTGTGCCGGGACCGAAGAAAGGTGCTGCGCTGTCAGAACAGAAGGCGAAAAGGTGTTTTTTGTCTTGAAAAGATCAGCCTCCTCCTCCTCTCTTACCCCCCCTTTTTTTTTAGCGAGCGCCCTTCAGCGTGTTTGTTTCTTTCCTTCTTCTTAAATTTGCTTTTCTGCTTTGTAATCTCGTGGAACACATCCGTGCCTTCTTGTGTGGGTGCGTGTCTGTGTGTGTGCGTGTGTTACCAGTGCAACAGGTGCTCCCACGGTATTAGTCATATTAGTGTCTTCAACGTCTTCGGTCGCTTCACAGTGCAGATCCTTATTTCACGTGTTTTCTTTTTCTCCCTCTCTCTCTCTCGTGTTTTCTGCTTTTTTTGCTGTTAAAAGCGTCCGGTTTATTATTATTATTATTATTAGTATTTAACTGTTGTTCTTCTTCTTGAGGTAGTGGTGCTTCTCTCCCTCTCCCTCTCACTCCCCGCTCCCCTCCCTTCCTTTTTTTCCCCCTTGTGTGGGGGATGTTGAACGAACTTGGCTGATGTTGTTATCTTTGCTCTCTGCTTCGACGATTCTCTAAACATAAATATATATCCATTACGAAGCGTTGTTTTTCTTCGATATTTGTATTGCTATTACTGTTTGCTTATTTGTGCATTTTCCTCTTTTTACCGTTGACATTTCGAAGTTTGATTGCCAGCGTTTTTGTCTATCAGTGTCTGACACCGTGTTCTAGAAGCGACAACAAGCTTCTCTCTTCTCTTCCTTTTTTCTTGAAAGGGCTTTTTTTTTGATTGGTTTTGTTGTCTTCGCTTGCGAAGCAAGGGCGTGTTCACCTTCGTGTTTTGTTTCTCGAAACGGATTGACTCTCTCCGAGCAGACGTCATCACTCTTTGTGTCAGCTTCACCTGCTGTTCATTATTTCTTTCTCTTTTCCGGCTCCTCAGCCAAATAGGTGATATGTATCATTTGTTGTTGGTCTTCGAATACTAAGTATAACTCTAATCACTCGTGCTTCCTGGATAGAATTGATCCTCCTCCTCCACTTTTACCTTTCTCTCTCACACACTCTTCTGCTGTTTTAAGCTTCTCTGGTTTTCTGTCTCTTTTTTCCTTCTTTTTTTAAATTTGAACAGTTCCTGCTTTCAGCTGCGTTTCGAAACTCAGCTGTCATCGCCGGAACCGTTCCAAGGAATTTTTTTCTCCGGATTAAACAGCTCCTCATTCCACACGTGTAGTATAGAAAGGTGTTCTTTCTTTTTTGTTGTTTTCTCTAACGTACTGCTTGTGTTTGTCAGTTTCTTTCTTGGTTAAAGAAAACAAAGAGGACTTCCCTCTACAAATCTGTTTTTGTTCTACTTCATCTCCGTTATTTCGATATCTCTTCGTTTCTGTTTTCTCCTGCTAAGTTTGTAGTTTTTCTCTCCTTTACCCGTTCCTCCTCTGTCATCTTTCTCTTATCGCCTCTTTAATACTGCATTTTTGCTGTTTTTTTTTTCTTATTTTCGTGCAGCTGTCTGTCTTACTCGCATCTCTGTGGGTACCTCGAAGCCAGTTACACGCATTACTACTACTATTTTCTAATACAATTTTTATTATTGTTGTTTTTGTTGATCGCGGGAAATACTATCTCAAACGCACTTGTTCTTCTCGGCTACCGTTTGTCGCCGCGCGTTCGTCGTCAGCCGCAGATTCTCACCTCCACTGCGATTGACCTCGGCGCGCCTGATTCTCTTCTCTCCCTCACCCACTCTTTCTATTTTCCTCTGCTTTGTATTTATTTTGGTGGTTGGTTTGAAAGGTTAACAGTGCACGATTTCTCTCCTCGTAATTCTCTGCATTTTAACATATATTTTCCACGTTTAACTGCCAGTTTTTTCTTCTTCTTTTCTTGCTCTTTCTGGGGGGACTGCTCCATTGTGGTGGCGGTCTGTCCGCTCTCTCTCTCTCTCTCTGTGTGCGTGGGTATTCGTACCTTCGTCGTATTTCTTGTTGCTGTTGTGTGTTGTTTCGTTTCAGTTTTACGACACACACGTATAAATAACGTTTCCCTTTTTTTTGTTTTATCCTTCGCCTTCGCTCCTTCTTATATTCCTTCCTCGATATTTTTCTCGTGGTCTTCTCCATTCAAACTTTTATTTTTCTACCTCCCTATTTGGGTAGACGGTTGAACAGTGAGAGCTCTACGTGCGTAGCGAGCGAGAGAGAGAGAGACAAACAACACCAAAAACAATAGTACTTAAATAAAACGAAGAGTTAGCTCTTTCTGCTGCGGTATACGTACGAATATCATCGAAAATATTATTATTTTTAAAAATATTCGAAACGAATTACTCGTTTGTTTTTTTACTATTATTATTATTATTATTATTTGTTTCGGTGCTGGTGGCTTTGCCTTCACAGCTACGTGTCTAAAGCGGAGCAACGTTTCCTTCTTCTTTGTTTTCACACACACGTAAAAGGCAAAAGAACATCCTTTTACTATATATGTATTAGTTGCTTCTTTCCCTCATCTCAAAAGCTTGGTTTACCTCTCCCAAAGTATTTCTCTGTTTTTTCTCATTGAATTTTTATCCATAACACAAAAACGTTTTCTCGCTTGCTTTTTTCTGTTTACCCCCATTTGTATGACTCTTCTCTTTTTATATTCACTTTTTCAAATATCCCCTGCTTTTTGTTGTTCCTTTTCTTTTTCCGGCGTGCACAAACGTTCTACAGACCGACAAGTCTTCCTTGCTGATCATTTTTGTTTGTTTGTGTGTTTTCAGCTTTTTTTTGATTTCCTCTTGATTTGCTGACGTACATTTGCAGGCTATTTCATTTCATTGTTGTTGTTTTTTAATCCTGATTGCATGTGCATCTCTATTCTTAATATATCATCGAACTCTGCCTTTTTTTGTGGTTGTTGCGGTGTTGTACTCCCAAAAAGGAAAACAACATCACACAAGGTGGATAGAAAGTTCAGTAATAGGATGTATATGTTTGTTTGTTTTTAAGGCGTAGTCTGTCACTTCTTGCTTAGTTTTTCTCCGATCTGACCTGCTTTATGCAAATATTTTCTTCAGTATTTTTCTCCGCCTCGAAGTACTTTCTCTTTGACTTTGTATCGGTCTATCGACCACATTTCCCCCTCGTCGTTTCACAGGTGTCAAGCAAAGTCCAGTTGAAACACGAGTTATTTCTCACTGCCTTCAATTTTTCCCCTTTCTATTCCTCTTTTTTTTTGTTCTTTTTCTTTTTCTTAACCGAAGCTTCGTTTTTTATTTTTATTATTTTCTTCATTATTGTACTCTTTCTTCCATTCCAGTGCATCTGGCTAGTTGAGAGCGTTGCTGAAACGCCATCTCCACAACAGAGGCGTTGCTTTCTTCTTCCGCCTTTCTTTTTTCCTGCGCAACTACGCGTGTTGTGTCTGCCTGTACTATTTATTTGTTTTTAAGAAAGTACGAGGAAGGCAAACACACGCGCTGACACCAATACCTTCGTGCTTTCTCTCGGTCGTTTAGCTGACGCTTCCGTAGTTATCCCCGGCGCGCTATCCGTTGGGGAGGGGGTGTGAACTCTCGCCGTGATTGTCGCAACCTACTTCCTATTTGAGGAAAACGGAAAAACCGGAATAGGGAAGTGAGGGGAAGCTTCGCGCACAGACACACACTCACATCAACTGCGGTGGCTCACGCCATATTATACTGCATTGACTGTGTTATATCTTCTTGTTTTTGTTTCCCTTTTTTTTTCTCGTAATATCATTGTTAGCAATTACTTAATATATATTTAAATAAATTCTGTAGCGACTTTCTCTGCAGGTACTTGCGAGGGGGGTTGAGACCAATAATCTGCTGATATTTTTCCTTCTTTCACCTCGAACGTATATATATATATATATATATATATATATATATATATTTATAATTAATAATAGTAAGTCAACACATACACAGACACTAACACGCACGCACGCATGCAATCGAAAGCGAGACCGTATAGAAAGTGAATCAACCGAGCATATATTTATATTTATATAATCAAGGGAAACCGTCGGTGGGGTGACCCACGTGGAGTGTGAGGTGAGCGGTGCGCGAGTAAAACGACGCCAGAACAAAGCAAAACAAAAAATACAACCGCAACAACAAGGAATGCACGCGAGAGCTGCTTGCGTAACTTACAGATAGAACGTGTGAGTAACGACGACGATGATGACGAAGTGCGCGCAGAAGAAGATAAAGTAAGAAGAGAACGTAAGAAAGGGGCACTTTACTCATATATGTTGGACGCCAGGGCTTGTAGGCGACGAGGCGTCGCCCGACCCGAGAAGAACGCCGTTGTCCGTCAGCATCACTCCAAGCTCCTCGTGCACTTTTCTTAACATTAAAGGCTGGACATTTCTAAAGACCGGTGGAGTTCTTCTTCTCAAAATTTCCTTGTCCCTCAAACATGTGTTTTTCCCCTTTTTTTAGAGGGGGCTCAGATGCTGTTCCTTATTTTGATTCCTTCATTTCTCTTCTTACAATGAAAGTCGTTAGGGGCGAACGCGGCCGCCGATTTATATATAATAAGAAAAGTAATGGGGAATACGTCGACGACGACGACCCACAAGCGTGCATGCAGAGAGCGGAGCAGAGCGCCGACTGCCGGGGAAGAAGGTGTGTGTGTGGGAGGGGGAGAAAGATATAGAAAGGAAAAAAACAAACTACAACCCGAAAGACCGGCGATATAAGTCGCAGTGCCCGTTCTCTGCTTTCTTCGGGGAAGAGACTGCGGCGTCCCTAAAGGAAATAACAAATGGAGAGAAAAGGAAAAGAACAGAAAGGCAGTTCAACAGCAAGAAAAAGGGCGCGGGGTCCCGTCGTCACTCCTTCACAAACATCTCCTCGATCTGCCGCGCAAAGCGCTCGCTGATCGCCTTCCTCTTCAGCTTCATCGCGGCGGTCAGCACGCCGTTCTCGGGGGTCCACTCCTCCAACACAAAGCGAACGTCGTGCGGCAGCTCGAACGGCTTGCGTCGTGCTTCCCGCCCCATCTCTGCCATCGACGCAGCCGCCTTGGCACAAAGCTCGGGCAGCGCAATCAGCTCTGCTATCGGCATCGTGCCATCGACGGCAGCGGGAGGGAAGCCTTCCGGGTGCGCCGCGACAAACTTGCGTACCTTGGTCTCTGCCGCGACGCAGATCACGGCGATGTAGCGCCGATCCGGGTTCACCACAACACACGCGCAGTTGTTCAGCACAAGTGGGTGATTGGCGTAGATGGCCTCGAGCGCCTCCAGGGCGATGTACTCGCCCAGGCAGTTCTTCGCGAGGGCCTTGATGCGACCAATCACGGAGACGCGTCCGTCGTTGTCGATGCTGCCGATGTCGCCGGTGTGGAACCAGCCCTCCGCGTCGATCGCCTCCGCCGTCAGCTCCGGCTTCTTGTAGTAGCCCTTGAAGAGGAAAGGGCCGCGCAGGCAGAGCTCGCCGCGCGGGTGCGGCTGATCGGTGTGCTTGTACTCCTCCGTGTCAATGAGCTTCAGCTCTTCCATCTCTAATACCTGTCCCACCGCACCTGGGGTAAGGTCACCAGTGCGCTGGATCGCACCAACGCAGATCGTCTCGGTTAATCCCCAGCCGCCGACGAGATATCCAAACACGACATTCACGAACTCCTGCGTCGAGGCTGCAAGCGGGCCGCCGCCGCTCAGCAGAAACTCAAAGCGCCCGCCGAGTGCCGCGCGTGCCTGCTTGAACACCTTCTCATTCCAGTAGGGCGTCTCCTTCCCCTCCTTCAGCGCCGCCAGCCGGCTCTGGTACGCGGTGTCGAAGACGTGCCGCCTCACCGTGCCCTCCGCCGGCAGCTTCGCCTCCACCGCCCGCTTCAGCGTGTTGTACACGCGCGGAACGGCCACAATGCAGCGGGGCTTGTACTCCGTCAAGTCCCCGTGCGGTCGCGCCGTCACGTCCGTCAGCGTCCGCGGGCTGCCAAAGCCGACGGTTGCCCCTCTCGCGAGGAAGATGTTCACGACGCCGAACTCCAGAATGTGGGCCAAGGGCAGGAAGGCGCAATAGCGCTCCTGCGTGACACGCGGCAGCAGACTGTCGATGTAGCGCTCCATCGCCGTCAAGCCTGAAATGATGCTGCCGTGGGTGTGCACCACGCCCTTTGGGTCGCCGGTCGTGCCGGAGGTGTACATGATCAGCGCCACCGCATCGTTGTCCTTTGGCGGCTCCGCCACGCGCTTCTTGCCGCTCTCACTGCGGCCTAACTCAGCCACCGCCGTCCACGCAATGACACGGCAGCCGTGCGTTGCCTCACACCCCGTTGCCGGCAGGTTATCCAGATAAATGATCGTGCTGGCCGGGAAGCGACCGGCGCCGACACCCTGCAGCAGCAGCGGCACGCTCTTGCCGTTGCACACGATCGCCGAGCACTCCGTCTCGCGCAGGGCGTAGAAGAGGGCGTCCTCGCCGAGGTTCGCGTACACGGTGGAGGCGACCATGTCCTGCATCC